AGTGTCCATAACAGGAGGTTTCACTGTAGTTTACTTTTTAAAATTTTATCGACTTGGAAATTACTTTTAATAATATCAATCAGTCATTGAGAATTTTTTTCATTCTCAAAGCAAAGTAAAAAAAAAAAATGCATTTTTTAAAAATAAATCTGCAGAAAAGGAAAGTATTCTGCGACAATGTCGCTGTGTCCCCAAGATTCTGCCACAGGCTCTTATATATAGTTAAGATATGAGAGAGCCTATATTTTAACTTTGGGACATCAGTGCCATGAGAAAACAAAAGCTAAAAGGAATACAAATGAAATTTTACAGCAAAAATAAGGTGAACATGTTGGCATAAATTACTTTACTTCTCGACTTTAGCTTTGGCAAGAAATCTGGCTTGAAGATCGTTGTATCCACTGCATTTGGTATAACTGATATTGTATTTGGACAAACATTTGCTCTAAGAGTAGTATTTTCTTTCCTAATTAAAATAAGTATTATATAAACTAATTACAAAAGGAAAACAACGTTTAAAAAACCTGCTTAAAAATATTCCATAGTTAAACCAAAACAGCACACTACTTTCTGAAAAACCTTAACCAAACAGAAATTCACTAACAAACTACGCCTCCATTTTATGAGCAGAAAGAAGAAGAAAAACGTAAGCAAGAAAGTTGTTGCCATTTGTTAGTAGAAAAGCTTAACTGGGGCAACTCAGTTTACTTTTGTATTTTGTTTTTTTATTCTCTTTTTCTCTCTTTCTGGACTTTTTGCAAAACCTTCGAGGTACAGAAAGAGCAAATTTCAGACATTTGTCATGCTCTCTTGATAGAAAAGGTTTTGTGTTTTTATGACTTCTGGAACTGGTACCCCCTGACGACGTCAGTTTCGATTTCATTAATACATTTTTCATTATTTTCTTCTTTAAAATTTTCTATTTAAATATATGAGTAATAATTATAAAAGATGAAAGATATACACTAAACAAAATCGAATTGCATAAATCTGTGCAAACATTATTTGTGTTTTTGTTTTCTGGTATTTCAGCCACTGGAATTATGAAAATGGGAACTATTACTCTTTCATTATTGTAAGTGTCAGTTTGTTTTAATGTAAATTAAAACAAACTGACACTTACAGTAATGAATAAACATAAAGTGTTATAGGATGAATAAGAATAAAATAGGATATTAAAACTAATAAAAGAACTTCAACTTTTGTGATTCTATTTTTTCAATGTAAAGCATGTGATCAGACTACTTAATACTTAAAAAATTACTCCATTAATGTTTCGTTCAGGTTCATAAAACATATGCAAAAACTGGAAACGATTCATTTGTTCAAATTATATCCATTTAAGTGAAACATTTCGCCAATTTGTTAAAAAAAAAAATTTAAAAAAAAACTTTAATAATTTTTCTTAATTCTATTTAATTTTTTTGAACAAGATAACTTTTTTAAAAAATTTGCATCAATTTTCAAGCACCCAATCTAAAGTTATTTTCAGTCAGAAAAAAAGTGCTAAAAAATTAAGTTTGGTACAGAGAAAATAAAATTTTAAAAGACATATATGTGAAAACAAATGCTCTTCTTTACTCTGCCATTCTTTCTACTCGGCCATTTTATTTGTTTACATATATATTCTCAGAAACTTGCCATTCTCAATCAGCATACATATATCTGATAAGGTAATACATACCTGCCAACATTGTAAAAAAAAAATAACTGAGATTTTACTGTTTTACTATATCATGTATAATCATTTAAGTCAAAAAGAGAAATTCAAAAGTGGAAATAACATAAGCACTTACATTTAGCGAATTAAAAAATATGTATGTAAATCTTAATCTAAAGAAGATTCTTTTAAACCATTATTTATAATTACTTAAACTATTTTATAACAATTGTTAAACAGCCGACCCAATTTTTGGTTTATGGATACTAGTGTTCAACTCTGTTGCCTTGTAATTTTGAACCCAATCCAGAAGACAAGGAAACTCCTGGATCAATCCAGTATTGGAAGAAATTTTATATTGTGGAGGACATTTTGATAGAACTAACCCGCAATCGCGTTACATGGAAAGGAAAAACCACGAAAAAATCCCAAGGGTAGCCTGACCGTAAAAGGTACTTAAAATATTAACACTCAGCATACTGCATACAACTTTTTCAACAAATATGGAGAAATTTGAGAATATACAGGCAAACAGGTGGTAGTCGTAAAATGCAGGAGTCTTTGTTAACCCCGTAACTGCCGCGGGCGTATATATACGTCTCGGCCAGACGATGCGGTAACTGCCGCAGGCGTATATATACGCTTTCCTGAAGTACGATGCTTTGCATTGCGCTGCTATAAATAGAACTACACCCCCTACTTCAGAATGCAGTAAAATGGCCTTGAAAGTGTTTGCTTTGCGAATGTATTACTAATTTCGGAGGAGGGGGAATGGGAAAAGGATGTTATGGAAAAGTGATATCGTATTAATCGCTTGTGTGTATTTATTTGAGTAANGGGAGTCAAAAATTAATAGATATAATCAGAAACAGGGATTCATCAAAATTGTACAATAGGCATTTTTTCTAACCAAAGGGGTCTGACTCTAACAAGCGAGTAACTAATGATAAAAGAAAAATGAATTTTAAAATTTAAATTAATATATATATGAAAATTAATTAAATTAATGTACATGAAAATAAACCAAGAACCAATCTGGTAATGAAAAAACAATTGTGGTAACCTAAAAGAGATGTCAATAAAAGCAAAGAATATCATGGTAACCAAAAACAGGGTTTTAGAAAAAATTGTATAATGGACAATTACAGCATCTCTTAAAATTTTAAATTTTCAGTCATAACGTGTAGGAAATTTTCTCACGAATTCGAAAATCCGATTTTTTATTTATAAAAATGTTTATTTATTTATTTATTAATAATTTAAATTGCTCTAAAAAGGCTCCGTAGATGATGCAATCAAAAACGATCCCTGATTGGCCGTGACGTCACATGTGCCGACGGGAGGTAAGTCTACTCCTTTCTCAATGCGTATTTCAACGTGATTTTTATACGGTGTTCTCTTTCGTCTTGAAATTTATACTAATACTAATTTTGTGGATTAAATTTACACTTTTATAAGTGTGTGTAAAATGGAGGAAGGTTTTCAAAAAGCCCAGACGGATAATCTTCCAAAAATAACGGAAGAAATGATCATGCAATTCTTCACATCAAATCAGCATTTCTTTTCGCCTGAAATCAGAGGAGTGAAAGTTCAAAGGTATGAACAGTTTATTTCACTTAAATATATATATATATTTATATTATAACACCTAACTAATTAATTTGATTATAAAAAAAGACGGATTGAATGGAATTTGTTTCAATAAATATTAGATTTATGATTTAAACAATCAGTATCGCCATAGAATAGATCAGTCGATGGAATAATTATTTATTCACCATCTTAATTTATAAATGTTCAAGTATTCATGTAATGTCATTTAATTGAGCTATATAATTATTTTAGCTAAAAGTGTTTCTTTTATTACATCCGAATTTGTTTTTAATTTAATTGAACAAATAACTTGAAACGAATTACCAACGAATACGAAACGATTTATCAGAAAATTTATTATGTATTTAATACTCATATCCATCGTGAACTTTATTCTTCTTTGAATTAATAGAAATTATGCTATTTTCACAAAAAAATTTATTCTAATTTTATAATATGCTTTCAGTATTTAAATAAACAGTGCGCTCATATTAATTCTCTATATAGTTATTGAAAAGTGAATAGGAGCTTTAGTAATATATATGTATTTATAAAATGTAAAGTTTTTTTCTGTCTAAAAAAATAAATAAATTATGTAGAATTTTATCACATACTTAATATTAAAATTAACAGAATGAATTTATATCTATTCTTTGAGTAAATAAGAATTTTGCAATTACTATGTATTGTTACATATCTATTTATAAAATTTTACCTTTAAAAAAAAATTTAAAAAAAACTTTCTAAAGAAAAAATTCACTAATGCAAATTTTTTAAAATGCACTTAATATTAAAATACACAGAGATGTTCACATCTATATTTTTACAGTTATTATTTTTTCAGTTAACTATTAAATTGCTATATATTGTTTTATATATAATAAATTATTTATCTCTTAAAAAAACTCATATGATTGGTGCATGCATTTACAAAAGTTAATTCCTATTTTTGTAACAGAGCATCTAAAAAGAATGGTTATTGTTGATTTATTATCATATTTCTTCAAATTAAATATTCTTTGGTACTTGCAAAAGGAAACTCTTAGACAAGAAATTAATGCATAATTAAATAGTTTTAAGAGAAGGGGAAATTGAAAAAATTGTCAAACAAGCATACTTGTTGCTTAACCCTTTGATGCAAATAAGACAATGGTGCCCCTTCTATGCATATATTTTTGATCTTCTAATTACTAGCAAAAATGGATTTTGGAATTTCAAATCATAAAAAAAACATTCTCTAATAATTGCTTAAAAGATCTGTTAAATTATCATAATTAAATTTGTTTTAAAATATAAAATTCAAAAAAGTAGTTTGAAATTTTTTTTTCTGTTCATTTTCAAACATTTATCAATAATTTTGAAAATTAAAGAATAACTTTTTTCTCTTACATCTAAATAACTACATTAAGTGTAAAATTAAAATATTGTTTGGAAGTGAGCCGTACTTTGAAGATTTTACCTTTAACACACACATAGGGGAAAAAAAAGATGTGTTTCATGCTATATTTCATAATCGTGATTTATTGAAATGCTAAATATATTTTTTCACTTATTTTGGCCTAAATAAATACAAAATAATTAACAGTATGAGAAATATTTTTAATAAAAATTTTAAAGCAAGGGGTGAAGAAACATGCATTCTTTACTTATTTATTAGAACTAAATAAGCATGGTTGATTTCAATACTTTATTGCAATTATAATCTGAATATTTTCTGAATTATAATCTGAATTCTCTGAAATATTTTTTAATAAATAATATAGATTAATATTATGAAAAAATGCAAATGAAGTTAAATATATATAAGAACAAGTTTAAAATAAAAAAAACATTAAATTATGTATTTTCTTTAAAACTTTTTCTGAAATATTAATACATCTTTTAAAATAATATTTCACTAAAATTCTTTATAATTTTTTATAGACTTAGCCATTAATAGTCATTTCAAATTAATTTTCAAAACATTTCCTTTTATCTCAGATCAGCAAGAGAGTCATATGGAGATAATGCTGTGGGCTACGTGCAGGTTAAGCGAGACCAGACTGCCTGCACTGTCAAGGGACGAATCACACCTGAGCACAAAGTCAGAAGCAAAGCATACACCGTCACATTAGTTTGTGATGAGATGGCAGAAAATCTCTTATCAATTCAGTGTGATGGTTGTGCTGCAAGTGCAGGTGGATGCAAGCACACGATTGCATTCCTTTTCTGGGTTCACAGAAAATGTTCAGTGCCATCCCCAACAGAAGTGGAATGTTACTGGAAAAAACCAAAGCTGTCAACAGTTGGTTCCAGTGAAAAGTTCATTTATGCGTCAAGTTTGGGGAAAAAAATTATTAATGATCTCCCTCCCAAAAACCCATCAATCTTGAAAGAATGCATGGATATTATAAATGAAAAAAATATTCAAAATATGCAACTCTGTAATTACTTTTCTGAGTTCAGTGACTCGGAAAAGGTGTCCATTCACTATCTGATAATGGAATTTGCAATGGAGGGGACTGGCTCTGAAGCTGACGCTTTTTTAAACTACTTAAAGAGAAAGATTAATTCTGATATTTGTAAAAAAGTAGGCCAACTATCAGTGGAGCAACATACTCAACCCCTATGGCATGAGCTTCGATATGCTAGAATAACTGCATCGAAACTGTATGAAGCGTCAAGATGCTCAATTTTAGATGGAAGTCTAGTTGAAGCGCTTCTTGGAGCAAAGTTTCGACCAACGGTAGCTATAAAAAGAGGTCGTCGTCTTGAAGTTGAGGTATTGAAGGAAATTGAGAGGAATCACAATATTCAAATAAAACCTAGTGGCCTCTTAATAAACCCTGAACATCCCATCTTTGGTGCATCACCAGATGGTATCGCCACAGATTTTATTGTTGAGGTTAAGTGCCCTATATCAGAAAAAACTAAAAATAAGTATATCATAAACAACATGCCTACCGATAGACATTATGCACAAATGCAACTGCAAATGTTATTTGCTAATAAATCCAGAGGATTGTTTTGTGTTGCAAATCCCAACTTTGAAAAGACGAGAGGAATTGCTGAGTTATGGGTACAACGAGATAATGAGTATTGTCAAAATTTAATGGAAAGAGCCCTTTATTTTTGGAAAAAAGCAATTTTTCCAAAAATTTATAAAAATTGTCTTTCAAAATAAAATTTTTTCTGATTTATAATATTGCATTATATAATAGTATGTAGTTACAGCAATTTTCTATAATAATATATTCTAATTCATTTAGAATGCCATATACAATGGAACAAAATAAATGTTGTCAGTTTTGCATATTTAAAGTTTTTAATTTTACGTCTCAGATTGATCTACGTTACCACACTACTTCACATACTAGATCCTCAATTTTAGACGATAAAACATTGTGGCCATTTTCTGGCCATCCATTTTTTTTTTATGCAATAAGGGATAGTCTTTTTATTATTATTCACTAAAATACCAATAAAAGCTAACTTTTTGTTTCTTTTTTTGAAAAAAAGATTGTTATTTTAAAGTTCTGTTACTATTTTTTTATTTTTTATAAAAGCTTGTTACACCCGTAGTCATCAAAGAACGCTGCAGTAACGTAACAAATTTGTACAGACTTCATTTAAGGTAACTAAGTAGAAATTAATCAAGACTTCTAAGCCATTGTTATTTGTTGAGTCTCTGATAAAAAGATATAATTCTTCTCTTCATATGAAATGTATTATTAGAAGTTGTGAATATATTATTTAAGGAAGTAACATTTAGCTTTGTGTATTGGTTTACGATGCTGACAATCTGGTGTAAGTGCATAAAATGGTGTAATAATGTACTGCTGTTAAGGTAGAATATTGGCATTAAATATGGACTCAGTAATGAAAACAGGATACCAATTCTTTTGGGAAAATTTTGCATTTAAAATTTACTGTTAGAAGTTGCAAATATTATAAAATTGAACACTTAGCTTTGTGTAACGGTTTTACAATGCTAACAAACTGGTGTAAGTGCAAAAAATCTTTAATATACTGCTGTTTAGGATTGAATTTGATATTGCTTACATTAAATAAATTGAACAGTAAAACACAGTAATATTACAAATTCTTTTCATAAAAACTTGTATTGAAAATGTAAATGTAAGATTTAAAAACATATAACAGTCAACTTTATAAAAACATATTTCAGCTTTAAAAATAGAAAGATAAAATACAAGACACTCATATACATTAATGTGATATAATTACAACTAAAAAACAAGGGATTCAAAAAATTTTATCAACTGTTCGGAAAGCACGCTTGGCAATTCATTTAATAAATGTTGACAACAATGAACAGCAAATTTTTTTGAATAAAAGACTATAAATGAAAAAAAAATGTTCTTAGAACAAAAGTTATAAAAAATAATTACTTAATACTAAAATATACATTACTGTACAATAATTATATAAGACAACCAATTCAAGTTGAAAGCACACAGGAAGTTTTTAGAAATGGAGACTATTCAAGACTGATCAATAAAAGAACTTATCAATACACTTTTTTTCTGTGCTTACATAACTAAAAAATTTATCAAAATTTGCAATGAAATGAATTGGAAAAAAAATACATATTAGAAACATTTTGTATCAAAACATTAAAAAATTCCATGATGGAATGTCAAAACATTAAAAAAAAATTCTCTAAAGTTGATTAAATTAAGCATTAATTGTCTAATAATTTTTTTAAAGTAGTGAATAGTTGATGTAATTACATTTTTTATATAATTATTGTTAAGACAATGAATAATTTACAAAAGCATGAAAAAAAGTATACTTTTACACTTTAATAATTTCATTTTGAAAGTTGATAAGGCCACAAACGATAATTAAAATGTGATCAAATAACTGTACCAAGTTATGATCAACACATGTATATTTCGATAAAATGTGAAAATTTCTCAGTCTATTTATGACTCTCTCTACATGCACTCTGACTGCAGCAACCCGCTTTGTGGATTTAACTTCCTCCGCAGACATTGGTTTATTTTGTGACACAGAAGGAGGACGAATAAGTTGGCAATCTAATTGCTGCAACAAATGAGCTATATTTTTAAATCCTCGATCTGCCATAATATCCATGTGAGGGAACAACAGCTTTAAATATCCTGAATCTTCCACAATGGCGGCATCTGTTGTACGCCCCCCATAACCCTTTGAGATATAGCTTACTGTGCCATCAGGAGTGCAAAATACCATGAATTTTATGGTATTATTCTTGTAGTAATCCGACCAAGTCATAGATTGCTGAAATGCATTTGAAGGTTTTTCAATAGGAATTTCAAAACAATCTATTATGCTTTGAACATTATAATAATTCCTTCGAAATGCTATTGGTAAACACTGTTTGATTTTATTGGAATCTGTAGGCCAAACAATAAAATTCTGGAGAACACCTGCAAGAGGAGACAAAGTTTTCTTGAAAATTCTGGACACATTACTAGTGGACATTCCAAATAACATGCCCAGATACTCATACGTTTCATTTTGTCTTATTTTTTTAAGCGTGACCATAACATTTAAAATTGAGCATTTAGTGTGTTTAGACAAAAACTCAATGAGGAATTTTTCCTCATTTGGAATTCCTAAACACATAAAAGAATTTTTTTCCACTGATTTTATCATGAATGCTTTCATTATTCTTTTTTCTTCATGATCATCATCAAGATCATAGTCTGATCCTGATGTATTTTCACAAATATAATCACTATCAACTATTTCTTCTGCATCACTGATGTAATTTCCTTCACATTCCATTACTTTTGGTGTTGGACCAGAAGCTACGTCTTGCATCTCTGGTGCGGCTATGCATCCAAATTCTGAAGTTGCAACACTATGAGTATTTGTACCCTTGCTTCGATAAGCAGCTTTCAAATTTACTTGGCAAGCTTTATCAAAAAAATTTGCTACATCTTCTATTTCGCTAGTAGGATGTAAGACAGAACCTGTATCATCTGCTTCTGCATTCGCATCCGTAGTTGACAGCTCAAACTTTTCCAATAGCTCTTGCACTGTATTTTTTCGCTGCCTCTTAACAGCTCTTTCAGTAGATGCTGATAATACTGGTGCAGGAGATTTATTCATTTGGCATGCAAATATATGAGGCACAGTTCCTTTTTTTAATCTAAGTTTGACTCCTAGTAATTTATGTTGAAGATAATTCTCAGTGTCAAGTTCCAGCTGAAACAAATAAAAACAATAATCAGAACTTCGGTTTAAGTCATTCTTAAAACTTATACAAATATTTTCTAAGAAAAAAATATGCAGAAAATTAATATACTTTGGAGGTTATTATGTTTTTTAGTCTAGTTAAAAATTCATACAAAACACTGTTTAAAACTAATTTACCCTTAGTCCTATACAAAAATAAATATAATGTGCTTATGGATACAATATATATTTTTGCATAAATATTTCTTTTTTATCAATAGAAACATACTTGAACTAAATAAGAATTTAAAAAAATTTCTAATTTAAATTTTGAGACACTAGGAATAATTTACAAAACATATTTGTAGCTTGTGCTTGAGTTCCTAAGATAAATAAATAAAAGAAAAGCTTTTGCAAATAAAAGAAAAAAGTTTTTTGAATAAATTTGGTTCGTTTTACGAACAAGTAATACCAGGTATTCATAACTTTTTCTTACACACTCTTTATCAAATATTCAGAGATAAAAAAATATTGTAAACAAAAGATGACTGTCATAGATATTTAATGTACTTAAGAATTTTTACAAAAAAATTTCAACATTTAGAAAAGTTAAATAAGAAAAAAATACATATACTCACATTAAAGTGGTCTTCGCAAACATTTCGGACAGATGTTGTAGACAAAATAGGTTTTTTTTTATCATCTCGTTTCATAGCGAGGCACCATTTCTTTCTATCAGCATCTTTTCTTGGAACATCGAAATAAGTTAATTCCGGAGCCGTTTTCGTTGTATTTGTGCACAAAGGCACTACGCAGTATTTATATCTTGGTGATGACATATTATTAAAATATCTGAAGTAGTTTCAAACAAATGCGAAGTAGAAAGAAAGATAGAATACAACGAATTTAAAAGGAATACGAATGTAAACAAACGAAAGATCGACACATGTGACGTCAGTTCCTTAAAAATCACGTGACTTCCCGTTTCAGCTAAAAACGAAACTGGGCTGTTTTTAATTAAAAATAACTTAATAATTAACGCTTTGAAAAGAGTAACAAAATGTTTTCTAGTGGTTTTGAGCCATTCTGAATACATTAAAATCATTTTTAAAAAATGCTGTAATTGTCCATTTAAGGGTTTCCAGACCCTATGCCAAGGTAAATAAATAAATGATAAGCATTAGTACCTTTAGTGATGGTTAATTTTTTGGAATTTGGCAACAAAGTTGGCAAATCGTACAATTTTAGGAACTTTTTACACAATTTTTTGAGGATCCTTTACAGCAAAAGTAAGGAGAAAAAAAAAAGTATCTTACTGAATGTCCATGTACAATAGAAATTTTTTCTCTAACAAGGATAAAACGAATGACAGGGAAGGTGGTAAATAATGTCGGTAGGGTGCACTGATTGTACACCACCCATACAGGCATATAATAAACCTAAAAAAAATGTGAAACAATGTGTGCAATTAATAATTGAATTAAGTATCTATAAGTACATAATTACTTTTGAAAAAAATAAAAGCTGATTATATTTAGCATGCAAGTTACAGCAATTTATTTGTTATGTTCAAGACAATTACAAATAAACAATAACATATATTGATAAAGGGATTGATAATTGAATATTTCAATTAAAAAATTGAAAGTTTACAGAATATTTTTTTTATTTCGCATTCTACCAATTGTTTTTTTCTTTTTTAAATAAAAAAAATTCACTGTAAACTTTAAATTAAGGAAAACTCTCCTAAGATTTATATAAATTTTTAAAATAATATAATAAACAAAAATGAATTTTTAAAATAATATTAAAACTTTATATTTTTGGTGTGAAATGTACGGTGATTATTAATATAGAAAACTAAGCAAATTTAAATTCAATATAATACACTTAAAATTGCAAAAAAAAAATTTTTTTTTTTCCTGGCATTAAACTAACTTTATTTAAACTATTAAAGATTTTTTCAGTTACAGATTATTTAAATTAATTTAAAAAAATTTTAAGTTGTTGAAGGTAAAACAGAAAATTTTGAGCTGGAGCAACCAATAACTTGCAAGAGAATCAAAATTACTTTGCAAGTGAATTTGTTTACTAAAAAAGAGTTATAAATAATATACTACAAGCAAAAATTTATAGCATATAGTGCTGAATAGTAAATTCAAGCTGAAAAACAAAGTTTGAAATCCAAAAAATAATAGGGAACCAAAATTGAAACTGACATCAATTAAAAAAAAAAAGATTAAAAGAATAAAAATATAATTTTAAAGCTACACAAACATATAAAATGCTAAAACTATTAAAATAAATTCAGACGCATAATAAATTATTCGCAATCTATTTAATTTAAAAAAAGGAAACCTCCTCTGATGAATAATTAAAACTAGACAATATACCACATTTCTTAAGAATTTGCAACAACAAAAAAGTTTGAAATTGCTGTGCCTGAGGGAAAAATTACAAAAGTTGTTATGCATTTTATTAATATTATTAAGAATATTAAAATATTATTATTAAAATGATATTAATAATATTATTTTAATAATATGTAAAATTCAAAAATTACTTCTAAACTACTTTTAATCCATTGGTTAAATATCTTATTCCTTTACGATTTCCATAGGCATGAGTAATTACATTGACTTTGTGACCTTTTTTAATAAGACACTGAGCAAGTTGGTAAATATGACTCTCTTCCCCACCAGTATTGGGATAGAAGAAATCAGACACCATAGTAGAAGTAATAAATATTCTGTGTTAAAATTTAATGTATGAACATTGTATCAATTCATATATAACTTCTGGCAGTTAATCAGATTTGAAAAGAACTTTTTAAACTATATAAACAAAGTATATTTTATTTTTGTTAAATATTAGGCAATAAAAATTTTTAAATAATAAGTTCTAAAAAGTTTTTTAATAAATGAATGTTTTATGTAAGTTATTATTTCAGTTGTAAAGTTAAAATTTTGAGTTAGATGTGGTTTTGTTATTTTTATGTAGAAACAAAAATTGCATTTGACCAATAAAATAAAAATATATCAATATGGAAGATGAGTGTCTTTTCTCACTTTTCAAATATAAATTCCTTTACTAATTTAACTCATAAAAAGTTAGGGTTTGAAATTAAATCTAGTCACAGTACTGTTATTCCTGTCCAAAAAAATGAGAAATAAAGGGGGTTTATGTAAATCATATTTCAGAATAAAAAATAACTAATTTAATTTTGTGTTTCGCTACTTTAATTTCAAAAATTCTGCACACATTTTAATTAATAATAAAATATGTTTTGTGATGCTGGTTTCATTCTGTAAAATCTGAATAGTATACCTATTCAGACATATTTTCGTAGTGATACCTGTTCACACCACCTAGAACTGCCAGCTTCCCAAAAGGATTTCAAACTAGCAAAAATATTCTTAAAAAATAAATAAAACATTTGAAAGCTTGCCTTAGAAGCCCTTCTATAGCATTATTTTTTTATTATCATTATTTCTTGCAGGATAATGCCCAGAAATCAACAAACATAGGTACAAGTACATATACAGAAATCATCTGGAAAAGAAAAGAAAAAACAGAATTGTGCTTTTTTTTAGGATCAAAAGCATAGAGAAGACAATTTAGTCAAATTGTAAATACAATTAGCAATCAATATAAACTTCACTTTTCATTCATTTTAAGTTTGTAAGTGAACAAGGACATGAACGCCTGATTTAAATTAATAGATCAGATCAATTAAAAATAAATTCCAACTTTTTCTTTCAGAATCAAAACTATTTACTAGTTGTTGATGGTTGACTTATCTAAATATTCTTGAAAGTTTAATTGTATCATCAATACTATTGATATTTTTACTTTAGATTGTCCTCAAAAAAGAAAATTCTCCCCTTTGCAATTCGTATTTAAAAAAAATTTCAGTTAACAAATTTAATATCGTATGTCAATATTTCTGTATGCAAAATAATTCTAAACCAACAGTGTTATAATTGTGGGGACAATTTCAAAAAAAGATAAGTATGTTCTACACATAGGAAGAATTTGTACCATTCCTAATGTCAAAATTTTAAATCGAATACATTGTTATCAAAGTACTATGTATGCATATGGGAATAATTTATTATGGATTTTCATCAGCATAAGCATCATTAAAATTACCAAATGTTGAGCTTTTTCTGCATATTTTCTACTTTTCGATTAAACATAAGATGAATTTGTATCATTCCTAATGTGAAAATTTTAAATAGAATACATTGTTATCAAAGAACTATGTNACTACAAGCAAAAATTTATAGCATATAGTGCTGAATATGAATTCAAGCTGAAAAACAAAGTTTGAAATCCAAAAATTAATAGGGAACCAAAATTGAAACTGACATCAATTTAAAAAAAAAAGATTAAAAGAATAAAAATATAATTTTAAAGCTACACAAACATATAAAATGCTAAAACTATTAAAATAAATTCAGACGCATAATAAATTATTCGCAATCTATTTAATTTAAAAAAAGGAAACCTCCTCTGATGAATAATTAAAACTAGACAATATACAACATTTCTTAAGAATTTGCAACAACAACAAAAAAGTTTGAAATTGCTGTGCCTGAGGGAAAAATTACAAAAGTTGTTATGCATTTTATTAATATTATTAAGAATATTATTATTAAAATGATATTAATAATATAATTTTAATAATATGTAAAATTCAAAAATTACTTATAAACATACTTTTAATCCATTGGTTAAATATCTTATTCCTTTACGATTTCCATAGGCATGAGTAATTACAATGACTTTGTGACCATTTTTAATAAGACACTGAGCAAGTTGGTAAATATGACTCTCTACCCCACCAGTATTGGGATAGAAGAAATCAGACACCATAGTAGAAGTAAAAAATATTCTGTGTTAAAATTTAATGTATGAACATTGTGTCAATTCATATATAACCTCTGGCAGTTAATCAGATTTGAAAAGAACTTTTTAAACTATATAAACAAAGCATATTTTATTTTTGTTAAATATTAGGTAATAAAAATTTTTAAAATAATAAGTTCTAAAAAGTTTTTTAATAAATGAATGTTTTGTGTAAGTTATTATTTCAGTTGTAAAGTTAAAATTTTGAGTTAGATGTGGTTTTGTTATTTTTATGTTGAAACAAAAATTGCATTTGACCAATAAAATAAAAATATATCAATATGGAAGATGAGTGTCTTTTCTCACTTTTCAAATATAAATTCCTTTACTAATTTAACTCATAAAAAGTTAGGGTTTGAAATTAAATCTAGTCACAGTAGTGTTATTCCTGTCCAAAAAAATGAGAAATAAACAGGGCTTATGTAAATCATATTTCAGAATAAAAAATAACTAATTTAATTTTGTGTTTCGCTACTTTAATTTCGAAAGTTCTGCACACATTTTAATTAATAATAAAATATGTTTCGTGATGCTGGTTTCATTCTGTAAAATCTGAATAGTATACCTATTCAGACACATTTTCGTAGTGATACCTGTTCACACCACCTAGAACTGCCAGCTTCCCAAAAGGATTTCAAACTAGTAAAAATATTCTTAAAAAATAAATAAAACATTTGAAAGCTTGCCTTAGAAGCCCTTCTATAGCGTTATTTTTTTATTATCATTATTTCCTGCAGGATAATGCCCAGAAATCAACAAACATAGGTACAGGTACCTTATACAGAAATCATCTGGAAAAAGAAAAAACAGAATTGCGCTTTTTTTTTAGGATCAAAAGCATAGAGAAGACAATTTAGTCAAATTGTAAATACAGTTAGCAATCAATATAAGCTTCATTTTTCATTCATTTTAAGTTTGTAAGTGAACAAGGACATGAACGCCTGATTTAAATTAATAGATCAGATCAATCAAAAATAAATTCCAACTTTTTCTTTCAGAATCAAAACTATTTACTAGTTGTTGATGGTTGACTTATCTAAATATTGAAGTTTAATCGTATCATCAATGCTATTGATATTTTTACTTTAGATTGTCCTCAAAAAAGAAAATTCTCCCCTTTGCAATTCGTGTTTAAAAAAAATTTCAGTTAACAAATTTAATATCGTATAAGAGAGCATGTCAATATTTCTGTATGCAAAATATTTCTAAACCAATATTGTTATAATTGTGGGGACAATTTCAAAAAAAGATAAGTATGTTCTACACATAGGATGAATTTGTATCATTCCTAATGTCAAAATTTTAAATAGAATACATTGTTATCAAAGTACTATGTATGCATATGAGAATAATTTAATATGGATTTTCATCAGCATAAGCATCATTTAAATTACCAAATGTTGAGCTTCTTCTGCAGATTTTCTACTTTTCGATTAAAATTTCAATAAAAAATTATACTTTGACTGTTTACGAAATAAAACTTCGCCTTTTTATTAAAAAAATTTAGCATCTGCCATAATTTATGAGTCATTTCTCAATTTAACAATACATTAACTATGGAAACAGGAACTACAAAGACCAATAAAACAATTCATTTTTGAAAGCAAAACATAAACAAGCAATCTCAGTCAACGGAACAGTGAGCAAATGAAATGAGCAGGAACTTTAATTGTCTGTCCTATACGTGAATGTTTTTCAGGAAGTTTTTTGATTTCAAGAGGTAAGTCTGGTGGTGGTTCGGCAGGTTGTCTTATTGTCTTTGTTGATTGTCCTGTAGTAACGTCTGGTATTTGCAAGAAATATGCAGGTTTTAATCTATCAACAGACACTGTAACATCTCTGTTTTTGATTTTTACAGTAAAATATTTTTCTTTTTTGTTAACGACTTGAAAAGGACCATCATATGGAGGTTCCATTTGCTTTTTAACTCTGTCTTTGCGAATAAACACATGAGATGCTGTTTTTAAATCTTTAGGGACAAATATTTTCTGGACATATTTATTTGACACTGTTCTTGGTCCTATTTCTTCCATAGTTTTTTCAAGCTGCCTGACAAAACCATCAGGTGTGGTTGGAGTTATGTTCTCTTGGAAAAATTCTCCAGGTAATCGTATATTTTGTCCATAGACCATTTGAGCAATGGTGTATGCCGCATCTTCTTGCATAGCTGTGCGTAATCCAAGAAGAACAGTTGGAAGTGTTTCACTCCAGGCTAGGTTATTGTGTGCCATTAACGCTGTCTTAATAGATCTGTGGAGGCGTTCAACCTTCCCATTAGCCTGTGGATGATAAGCAGTTGTATGCTGTAATTTTATTCCACACATTTTAGATAGGGCGGTGAACAGCTCAGAACTAAATTGCGCTCCACGATCTGTAACAAGACGGTATGGGGTACCAAATCTTGAAATCCAGTTAGAATAAAATGCATTGGCAACTGTTTCTGCTGACATGTTGTTTAACGGAATCACTTCCAACCAGTTAGAGTATTGGTCAATACAAGTTAGACAGTAAATATTTCCACTTGATGGTGGTAGGGGTCCAATGAGATCAATATGGACGTCATTAAACCTTTCTGAAGGAAGTTGGAAATCACCGAAACTTGATTTGGTGTGTCGATTTACTTTATTCTTTTGGCAAGCCATGCAAGATCGAGTCCAAAGCTGCACATCTTTACGTATACTCGGCCAGATAAATTTTGACGTTAAGAGCTTTACAGATGATTTAATGCCAGGATGGGATACGCTATGCATTTGTTGAAATATTTTCATGCGATACATTTCAGGAATATACGGTCTAATGCTATTCGTTGAAGTTTCACACCACAAAGACTTTCCAGAAGGTAGCGGATACTGCTTAAAGTTCAGGGAAGTCGGTGATGTCCTTAAATTTTGAAATTCTTTATCTATATTTTGTTCAATTGCTATTTTATCGTAGTCAATCAAAGAAATTTCGTCAATTCTAGATAAAGTATCTGCAACGATGCTGTCTCGACCTTCAATGTGTTGTATATCAGTTGAAAATTCTGAAATGTATTGTAAATGTCTAAGTTGACGAGGTGATGCTTTTTCAGGTTTTTGTTTAAATGCAAAAATTATGGGTTTATGGTCCGTGAATATTTTAAATGTTCTTCCTTCCAGTAAATATTTGAAGTGTTTGATGGAGAGATATATTCCTAGCAGTTCTCTATCGTAAGTGCTGTAAGGCTTTTGCGCTTCGTTTAATTTTTTAGAATAAAATGCAATAGGTTTCCATCTATTGTCTTCAAATTGCTGAATTACTGCTCCAATTGCTGAATCTGAAGCATCCGTATATAGTGACAGAGGTAGTTCAGAATTCGGAAATGTTAAGAGTGTTATATTGACCAAATCATCTTTGCATCTTTGAAACTGTTCTTTCGCCTCATCGGTCCATTGAATTTTCCGTTTGTCTTTTTTTCGTGCTCCATTAAGGTAATCATGAAAGAGAGATTGATTTTTTGATGCATTCCTTAAATATTGGCAATAAAAATTAATCATGCCTAAAAATGTTCTGAGTTCGTGAATGGTGGTCGGAAGTTTGTAATTAACAATAGTTTGAACTTTGTCCGGTAACGGTCGTGAGCCTTGCGGAGTAATTAAATATAACCTAAGAATTCTATTTCTTCCTTTCCAAAGATAGACTTGGAAACGTTAATATGAAGTCCATAATCATTAAATCTTTCAAACACTAACTTTAAGTGAGTTCTGTGTTGTTCCTCACTAGCAGATGCGATTAGAATATCATCTAGGTAGGGAAAAACAAAACTAAGACCAGAAAAAACACTATTTACAAATCTCTGAAACGTTGCTGGTGCATTCCTCAAGCCAAAGCTCATCACATTGAATTCGTACAAACCAAATGGAGTAATAATTGCAGTTTTACATCTGTCTTCTTTGGCTATAGGCACTTGGTAATAGGCTTTAAACAAATCAATTTTGGAATATACATTTGTATCTTTTAAAATGTGATGAAAATCTTCAATCCTAGAAATGGGGTATTGATCAGGAACTGTTCTAGCATTTAGCTGTCTGTAATCTCCACATGGGCGAAGAGTACCATCTTTTTTCAAAACCACATGCAATGAACTTGCCCATTGTGAACTGGAGGGTATTATTATGTTATTATCCAACATGAATTGGAACTCTTGCTTTACTGTTGCCAGCCTTTGATGATCTAGCTGTCGTGCTTCAGAATTTACAGGTGGACCATTTGTTTCGATGTGATGTTGAACATTATGTTTTATACCTGATAAGAACAAATTTGGTTGGCATAAATCTGGAAATTGATTTAGTAGAGTATGAAATTTCGTCGAACTATTTACTCGCTGAGGGT